AATACATATTAAGCATTTAACGATGTTGGAACTCATTCAACAAATCAGTCAAACTGTCATCTATTCTCAATTTTACAGAAATGAAACACATCCTCACATCTCGTCTCGACATGCACCAGTACAGGTCTCACCTGCTGCAGTGACGGCTAATATAGACCAATAAAGTTGTGCACCCTAAAAAATGTTATGTTTCGTTGATGTTGTCTATGATATATCTGCTGCTTTAATCGACGTTATTCTTATTAAACTACATACATCGAACACTAAGAAATCACGCAAACTTCGCTACACACAGAAACTGCCAAATCCTTGCGCATATGAGCCGCACCGGACAGGGCGTCACAGGAGTTGAAACGCAAAACCCACGGCCAAGGACACCACAAGGCCAACCGCGATGATTTTTCATCTTGGCGCCGTGAAGAAATGTTCGTTGTGGGCGGTTCAATGCAAGATTGGCAAGTTTTGTGTGTAGGAAGTATTGCGTGATTATTATGTCGTGATGTTTTAATAAAATCAAAACGCTGAATTGAAAAGAGAGAGAATACTGCATAGACACAGTGTTTTGTTAATTGCTAGTAATAATCGTTAATGAAAGCGACCGGCTTTAGTATTCTTTGATTTTCTATGATAACACCGGCCGAAATAGTAAAAAGGTTGTCGTGCATTTTCTGCAGGCGGACAAGAAGTTTACAGGTTTCTGATCTATGGAAGCGGCTATTTGCAGCTAATTTGGCCCTATAAATAAGGCATGAGAATGAGAAAATCAGCGGTTTACGTCCAAGGAATTTTAAAAAGTGCATGAGGGCTTTCTTTCTTCAATTATTCATTATATCATTATTTAATTATTTCAGGCTGAAATACAGTGAAATACAGTACCACCACAATAAAAATGACTAGCCGCCCCTCTTTATTGATTCATGTATTTTATTTTTCAGGCTGAAATATTCTTTTCATTTTTCACGTTGGGAATTTTCCGGGTTTGAAGTCGGTGCATCTTCGGGTTTTTTCGACAAATCTGTTATTCGGCGCCGGCTGGATATATGTCGTAGCGGTTACGAAAGTGCATGTACAATCCAGATCTGCCCCAGCTTGTAAAAATCCATCAGAATTCGCGTTTAGGCTAGTACACAGTCGCCTTGTGAGTTATCTACTTAATGTTTCAAGTGAGAGGAATTTTTTTCCAAATAATGAATATTTTTGTGAAATAATGATTTTTATTGGGGACGGCGGACTAAAGGCGCATGCGGGCGGTGACCGTAAACCGGATTTTTCATTTGCATGGCCTAATGTTCATGCCAGGATATATAAAAATTTTTAGGGCACATATTTTTGGTCTAGAGCTACATATGACATGGGTCTATGCTCCCAGCAGGTATGCCGGAAAAACGTACCTGTCACTATTTGATATCGGTTAGGGTTAGGATTAGGGTTGGCCATGAGATGAAGCAAATCGGTTTTTCCGTCCACAGGATTATTAAAAAACGTGATGAGAAGCTTTTTGGTCCCAATTATTATTATTCATCCTATTTAATTTTCAGGCTGAATACAATGAAATAACAGTACAGACGAATAAAGCAATCTAGGCCGCCCTCTTTAATTATTATTAAATTATTAAAATATATATATCAGGCTGAAAATGTTTTTCAGTTTTTCACCTGATGATTCGGAAGGAAGAATTTTTCGGTTTGAAACGTGCGTGCATCTTCGGATTTTTTTTCGACAATCATTTATTTGCGGGCGCCTGGATATTAATGTCTACGGTTAGAAAAGTGGCATGTACAATCAGACTGCCAAGCTTGTCAAATGCCATCAGAAGTTGCTCGTTTGAGCTAAGTACACTTGTGAGTATAGTCTAGTTATTGTTTGCAGTGACCGCCCCGGAATTTTTTTCGAAATAATGAAACTTTTTTGGTAAATAATGACTTTTTTGGGCGGGACTAAAGCGGGCATGCGGGCGTGGAGTAAAACCGGATTTTCATCTCCGATGGGCCTTAGGGGTTGCGGGTTCGGGTTCGGGAGTAGGGCGTCTGGGGCGACTCCCTAGACTCGTTAGTGAAGGTGAGACGAGGTAGGGTTCGGTATTTAGCATAGTCACAGGGTTAGCGTTCGCGGTAATACGGGGACCGTACGCAGGGTACGATTCGCGGCAGTACGGGGGAGCATAGACCCTCTCAGCTCATGACTCTGTGCGACGAGTTTCACTGCAATCGAGGTCACTCGCCACTGGATCTGGTACACTGCTTTCACCGTTAGTTTGGCCTTAGGATGCCGCGCTAGTCTTACAGTCACTTACACTTGTTGTCATCCTAGTGGATTTATTGGCATACTAGCGGATTTTCGATCTTGTGTGTATTCCCGTTGTTTAAGAAGAATGTTTATTGCTGAATGGATTATGGTTCTCCGTTTACTTTCCGCAGCGCGTCCAATGTTATGTAGACCTGGTACAATAGTAAAAAATAAAAATGTGTTATATAAAAAGAGAATAAAAATGTGTTATATAAAAAGAGATACTTCTTTTTTTATATAACACATTTTTATTTTTTATTTTGCCTCAGGTCCCTGTGATAGTGACAAGGTAGTAAATTAAGTGCCTTCAGGGATAAACCCAATAAACAAACAGGTGCATAATAATATGAGTGCAATAGACCTTATCGCTAATCGGTAAATATTACCAGATGGCGCACCACCGCAAAGCATGATGGGATGGAAAAGGGGGCATCGATCGGCGCTCATAGGTAATATACGCACGGCTATGGGTGATAGGAAAGGGTACTAACTATTATATTTTGCAAACGAGTTGAGTTACATTTCTAGAAATCTAGATGAATATAAACACATGTCTTAGCTATAATCTCTGTGAATTTTCAGTTTGTTGAAGCATGATTAGTCTAATTAATTACCAAATATATGCGAACGGTATTGCTCATAGGCGCCTATTGCGTGCAGCCGGCTATACGCACAGTTATGGGCGATAGGAAAGGGTACTAACTATCATATCTCGCTAACGAGTTGAGTTACATTTCTAGAAATCTAGATGAATATAAACACATGTCTTAGCTATAATCTCTGTGAATTTTCAGTTTGTTGAAGCATGATTAGTCTAATTAATTACCAAATATATGCGAATGGTATCACGCATAGGCGCCTATTGCATGCAGCCGGCTATACGCACGGCTATGGGCGATAGGAAAGGGTACTAACTATCATATGTCACGAACGAGTTGAGTTACATTTCTAGAAATCTAAATGAATATAAACACATGTCTTAGCTATAATCTCTGTGAATTTTCAGTTTGTTGAAGCATGATTAGTCTAATTAATTACCAAATATATGCGAACGGTATTACGCATGCATACTGATGCCTATTGCGTGCAGCCGGCTGCTAACCGCTTGTGGCGGCGGCTGCGCTAGTAATGCCCCTTTTCCTATCCCATGACGCATTGGCGATTGGCGATAAGGCTTATCCTACTAGGTGTCTTCTTAAAGTGGGTTCGCGTGCATAGCAGTACTAATAGATGGCGTGTAGCAATATCTCCCTTCGGAAATATTAGTAATATTACAAAGACAATAATTTGGTTGATTAAAATTTTGGATCAAGAATAGTTTGGGACCCCGCAAATGTGCGAATGAATGAAGAATAAAACAAGACGTTGACAGGATCCGCTGCCTTGTGAGGGGATGTGATTACCCGGAAGGGGAGGGGGCACTCACCCCACGTTATGGTAGGCAGGGTGCGAAATTAACGGCAGTCCGGAGTCAAATACTCCCTGATTTACTGTCGGACTTCCTGATTTGACATATGCAGGAGTCCATGTGACTCCCTGAAAATTCTGCCATACTAACTACTTCGATCCGGACCACGGACTCGCGGAATTACCGTCTTTTTTTCAGCTAATGTCCAAAGACAATTTGGTGGACGTGCAACCGCATGAATCTTAAAATTAAGCACATGCGTTATTGTTAATATCTTTAATTTTGAACCTCAGACTGCGGACTCCCTCTTTTTGAGGGTAGGGAGTCCAGTCCGTTGGATTCCCGTGTTCAAAAGTTAATTTCTACCACTGGTAGGTATGTGTCACTGCGAATTCAAAAATGAGGGGGGCTCTGGAACTAACTCAGACGTGAAAATGGGGGTCTCTGGAACTAATGTTTGTTGAATATGGGATGCTCTGGAACTGGCTATGTACGAAAATGGGGGTTGCGTTGCATGCATGCCTTCAAGGCCCGGCTTCAACGTATTCTGAAGTACGATGCACTGGAACG